TGGAGGAGGGGGGGTGTGAAGGAGGGGTGTGTCTTGTCATGGGTGTGAACTGTGAGTCTGTAGCTGTACTGTAGGGGTCATCAAAGGTCAGGTGATGTGTGCATTGTGGTTGTAGGGGTCAGAGGTCAGATAATGGGTGTATTGAACTAAGTGTAGGGGATCTCTCAGTGTCTCATAGTGTTAGTGTTTTGTCTGTGTCATGTGTCTCTCAGTGTCTCTGTCATGTGTCTCTCAGTGTCTCTGTCATGTGTCTCTTAGTGTTAGTGTTTTCTCTGTGTCATGTGTCTCTCAGTGTCTGTGTCATGTGTCTCTCAGTGTCTCTGTATGTCTCTTAGTGTTAGTTTTTTGTCTGTGTCATGTGTCTCTCAGTGTCTGTGTCATGTGTCTCTCAGTGTCTGTGCCATGTGTCTCTCTCTTTGTGCCCTGTAGCATCTCTCTTTATGTGTCACATGTCTGTCTGTGTCATGTGTATCTGCCCGTGTCATGTGTCGCATGTATTTTTGTGTCATAAATCATGTGTTTGATCTGTCTGTGTCATGTGTCTGGTCATGTGTCATTTGTATTGATTTGTCTGGGTCACATATGTCTGTCCGTGTCGTGTGTCTTGTGTCTCTCTGTGTCATATATCATGTGTTTGATCTGTCTGTGTCATGTGGCGCGTGTCTCTCTGTGTCGTGTGTCATATGTATAAATTGATCTGTCCATGTCTTGTGTCTGTCCGTGTCATGTGACCATCTAGTCAGCAGCTGATGCGAGCGGTGAACCACCCGGTGTCATGTGTCTGTCTGTGTCATGTGTCATGTGACCATCTAGTCAGCAGCTGATGCGAGAGGTGAACCACCATGTATCATGTCTCTGTCTGTGCCATGTGTCTGTCTGTGTCATGTGTTGTGTCATGTGTCTGTCTGTGTCATGTTTCTGTCTGTGTCATGTGTCATGTTTCTGTATGTGTCATGTGTCCGTGTAGTCAGCAGCGAGCGGTGAACCACCCCGTGTCATGTATGTGTCATGTGTCCATGTAGTCAGCAGCGAGCGGTGAACCACCACCCCGTGTCATGTCTGTGTCATGTGTCCGTGTAGTCAGCAGCGACGGGTGAACCACCCCGTGCCATGTGTCATGTCTGTGTCATGTGTCATGTATGCGTCATGTGTCCGTGTAGTCAGCAGCGAGCGGTGAACCACCCCTTGTCATACGTCATGTCTGTGTCATATCATGTGTCATGTGTCCGTGTAGTCATCAGCGAGCGGTGAACCACCCCTTGTCATGCGTCATGTCTGTGTCATGTCATGTGTCATGTGTCCGTGTAGTCAGCAGCGAGCGGTGAACCACCCCTTGTCATGCGTCATGTCTAATGTCATGTGTCCGTGTAGTCAACAGCGAGTGGTGAACCACCCTGGCCTGTGTCATGTCTGATGTCTGTGTCATGTCATGTGTCATGTGTCCGTGTAGTCAGCAGCGAGCGGTGAACCACCCTGTGGCACTCTCCAGCCGTCAATAAACAGTTTTCCCTAGACACAACACAGCCTTACAGCGGGCGGGACTGGTCTCTCTTCTCTGCATGTGTGTGTCCCCCCCTCTCCCTCTCCCTCTCCCTCTCCCTCTCCCTCTCTCTCTCTCTCTCTCCCTCTCTCTCTCTCTTTCTCTCTTTCTCTTTCTCTCTCTCTCTCCCCCTCTCTCTCTCTCCCTCTCTCTCTCTCACACACACACACACACACACGCACATGTATACACGCACACACTCACATACTTACACACATACACACTCACATACACACACACTTCCTATCTCTTTCTTTCTCTCTTGCTGTGTGTGTGTGTGTGCGCGCGCGCTCGTCGGTCTATGTATGGTTACAACACACAGCCACGACACACTACACGATACACTACACGACACACTGTGTATGGTGATACAGACACAACACACTGTATGGTGACACTGACACAACACACTGTGTATGGGGACACTGACACAACACACTGTGTATGGTGACACTGACACAACACACTGTGTATGGTGACACTGACACGTGATGTCAGAAGACACGTCCCTCTCAGAAAGGACCAAAGAGGAAAACATTTGGAACTCCCACAATAACCCACGCTCAAGAACACCCTCTTGGGATCTGAACCCGAGTCTTGTACCTGTGGAATCTACTGTCGACTCGTGTGTCATCCACGGAGGTTGTCACGATTCACCTGAGGGGAGCGTCCAACTTAGCTTAGAACAACCTGAAGGGTTGTGACCTTGTCATTGGCAGGAACAAGATCATGTGACCTTGTCATTGTCAGGAACAAGATCATGTGACCTTGTCACTGTCACTGGCTGGAACAAGATCATGTGACCTTGTCACTGGCTCCTCGACACTCCCAAAGTGGGAGGTTGGAGGGTGTCACCACGACGCTATATATCTCAGTTCCACACTCTCAACACCTGGAGGGCTGTGGTGTAGTGGTTGGGTGCTTGGCTGCTGCACACGGGAGACCCAGGTTTGATTGCCGAGTGGGGAGAAAGTCTTGTATCGAGCATCAGTCTTTCTCCTGGAAGGTTGTAACTTGTGATCCCTATCCGCCCGAGTTGGCCCGTACAGGCTGGGTAGGAAGCCCGCCCCTTAAATTATTGAAATTGTATCGATGGGGACTTAAAAACATCTAACAACAACAACAAATATCAGGTCTGCTGTGACGCCTAGATCGAATCGTTTCCTCTCCCAGCCCTCCACATCACGTACCATGACGCCATGATGGTATTGTGTGCAGCTGCCTACTCCCCGACTACCTGGTCCGGAAACCAAGGGACACAACCGGTTTTTAAAAGACAATCTAGCAAACACATCTTTGTTATCGTTCTTAGATTCAGTTGTAACTAATGGTCCAAGTCCAAGTCTGCCGCTCAAATAAACTGCTCCATCTGTTGCAGAAGTGACCACACCTACCCCCACCCCGACCCTCATGATAAATCCACAACATAAAGTAGCCACAACAAAACAAAATACACTTTTTTGTAACAAAAACAACAACGGGGGGGGGGGGGGGGGGGGGTATGCCGTCTGCAAGTTACGGTAACTTTCGGTGAGCCGTGCTCATGGAGAGTGGGTAGACAGGAAGCGGAAGTGAAGTCTTGTTGTGGAGACTCGAAGCACCGGTTTCTCCACGTCAACCTTCCCGTTGAAGAAGCTTTTAAAACGTTTTACTTGTGAATTTCCCTGGCCACATTTATTTATTTGTACATTTATACAATATGGAGCGCTGTGTTCTAATTCTATTCGCACTGGTTAGCATTACAAAAGTTGTGCTGTCTGGAGAACTTACCTTTGAGTTGCCAGACAACGAAAGAATGTGTTTTCATGAAGAGGTTCAGAAAGGTGAATCTGCTACGCTGGAATTTCAGGTTTGTTTTACTTTCCTAAGTTTTAGTTTGCTATTTTTAATTCTTGTAGATCTACGGTGGTGTTGACTTTGCCATCCAACCCCTTCGTTGCCAGGGGGTATGTTCCTTCTGTCAGTGGAGTGGATTTGCTGTCTGGTTCAGAAGTTCAGTCAGGCCCACTCAGACTCATGACTCGTGACATTGTTGACAGTGAATATTTAGATAGATCTCCAGAGATCTCTAGATTCTAGATCTCTATATTCTAGATCTCTATATTCTAGATCTAGACTAGATCTAGATCTAGATCTAATCTAGGTTCTAGACACAAGCAGATAATTAGAGAACGTCACTGTCAGGAGTACGCCACTGGCAAATATTTATAGTAACAGCCATCTTGGCGCTTTTTCGGTAGTTCCCACCCCGCAATTGTTATTCGCCGGTTTTGGCCTCAAGAGAGGGTGGTCCCCCTGTCCAAATAAAAATGTTTTGCAGTAGTTAGGTTTGATATCTTAGCTCGCATCAAAGGTATAGATCTAGATCTAGAATCTGGATCTCGATGTAGGTCAGGCTCAAAATCAAAATATAAGGGGTGTGGGAACTACCGAAAAAGCACCTCTTGTTTGACATCATTGTGAGGGATTCCCACTTTTTTGTCAGTCACGGTGGCAACACAACCGCACTACAGCAGCCAAACCGAACAGTTGGCCTAGATTCTCCTCTTGCTCTTAAATAAATGTCTTCTTCTTCTTCTCAATATACATAGTGTAGTACAGCTTCAGAATCAATCTGGGCAGAAGAAGGGTGCTGCACAATCACAGACAACCGAACCGAAAAGTTCTGCAAGTTGCAAAAAAAATTCTATATCCGAGTCGGCAGGCTGCCGTCGTGCGGTCGTGTTGCCATGATGACTGACAACAAAGTGGGAATCCCTCAATGACATCAAACAGGATGGCTGTTAAAAAATACGCAGTGGCTATTTTTACGGCGTGCCGTAAAGATAGCCTCCCAGTGAGTCCCAGGCTATTTTTACGGCGATCCTCGAAAAGCGACCCTACTCCGCCTCTCATGTACGCAAGATCTAGGCCTCTAGTAGGGACCGTTCAAAATATAAACTTACACCTCAGAGGGGAAAGGGTGTCTTTGGCTTCATAATTATAGTCTTTATTCTGGACTTTTAAACAATTCAATGTTTTTATGTTCTTTACTAGGACCTTGTTATTGTGGGATTCTTTCAAATAATAAAATAGATCGCATTTTTTAAGTTTTTATTTTTTGTTTTCTGATGTGCTCATATTGTTACTGTCCATTTTTACGGGGAACAGCTCACACCAAGGGTGATTCTTTTTCCGATTCATATTTAGGAAAAAAAATTATACGGGCATAAGAAATAATGAAGAAAGTAAATTTTGATAAGTCCGAAAATATGAAAGTTGCCATGGAATGGAAACAGCACCAACATGCAAAACAAACAATTATTTTTAAAAACCGAAGGCTTAGATTCTACTCTCTAACAAAATTGCATGAAAATTCGTGGAATGGTAGATACAGATACTATGGTCAATCGTACTGAGCAAAATTTTGATATTTAAATGAAAAGTAGTCTACAGGATTTGTCCCAATAGACTCGGATAAAGAGCCTAGTAAGCCCCATATATATATATATATATATATATATATATATATATATATATATATATATATGTATTCCTGTACCCTGAAATTGCATCACAATAATTAATAAATTAATCACTGTGAACAACAAAAAAATATTTTATACCTCTATCAAAAATCTGCTCAGTGCAAAGGAAATAGGCATTCCCAAGGCGAAAAGTGTGTTACAAAATGGCCGCTCTTCTTGTGGGTGTGGTACATAATGTAGTGATGTCTGTGAATGAGATGATGATGCTGGCAGTGGTGATGGTAATGATAATGACGAGGAGGTGATGGTGGTGGTGATGATAAAGAGAGGGTGAATGATGATGGTGGGGAGAAGAAGGAAGAGGTGGTGGTGGAGGAAGGGAGAAGGAAGATGAAGAAGAGAATAGAATGGCGGTGAAGAGGAGGAAATGGAAAACCTATGAGGCTGTTCAAATATAATCTTACACTTTTGGGGACGTTTTTAAAACACAAAACCCAAATACCACTTTTCTCACATTTGCCTCCAACCCCCATCCACACCAATTTAATTAGTACTTTTTCCGATCTTCAACTTCCATTATTATTTTAAAGATACCTGTACTATACGTGGCTTTTTTTAACCAGCTTGTAAAAAAAAAAATCATTTCAGTTAATACAATTTAATCAAACCATATGAACTAGAAAGAACACACTTACAAATAAAAGACATCAAGACATTAAAAAGATCAACAAAACAGTTGCAGAGTTACAAAGAAACATTAAGAAATTAGATATCCACCGACAGAATTTTCATAATAATTTCAAAATTATTTGTAACAAAAAAACCAACAACAACGGGGATCTGCAGTGATCATGCAGATCTGGGTCTTGTTACTGGCATTTATCCACTTTTTCTTTTACCTTTTCTTCCCAGTCATGAGCAAAACGTTCATCTCACAGAAGTGTCATAATATTTGGTTAACCTCCCCACCCAATTTTACACACCCTTTCCCCTCTGAGGTGTAAGTTTATATTTTGAACGGTCCCTACTATAGGCCTAGATCTAATAGTAATACATTGAGGCATGTCGCGTACATGAGAGGCGGAGTAGGGTCGCTTTTCGAGGATCGCTGTAAAAATAACCTGGGACTCACTGGGAGGCTATCTTTACGGCTCGCCGTAAAAATAGCCTCTGCGTAAATAATATGGCCAATGGCATTCTCTAATTATCCGCTTGTTATTTAGACCTGGAGTCTTTGATAGTTTCATCCCCAGAGTTTCTTATTTGCCATAATTTTGAACATCTTGCTTACACTTGATTTAGATTATCTAGATTCTAGATCTATTCTAAGTCAAAAAGGGAAATTTGCTGCCTTTTAAAAATATTATGAAAGTGCCTATTTGCAACGCCGCGTTGCGATTAGCACCAGTGCTATATAAAACGCCGCTTTGCGATTAGCGCCAGTGCTAGATTTTATATAAAATGCCGTGGGTTAGCCTATAGGCTATATATGAAGCTTTTATCTACCTTTCGTTAACGGAAGTTCTGATGGCCGAAGTGACAGTGCGTCTGCGTTTGAAGCCAAACCTTTATTTTATGAGCGTGGGTTGGATCCCGGTCCTGGAAGGGTTTTTTTGTGGGGGGGTTTTTGGTGGTTTTTTTGTCCCATTGAAATCTCGACTGACCAACAAATTTTCCCCATAAAAACAACAAATTTTCCCAATAAAATTATAACTTGTTTCTTTGTATTTTTTTAAAATGTAGACGTAGATCTATTGATGAAGAATGCACATCCTGGTTTTGTCCCCAAGAGGAGCTCTGTACAAAGTAGGCCTTAGTATAGCCTCTATACTTTTCCTTTTACCAATTTAGGCCTGGTTAAAGTTCAATAGTGGCTTTCCTTGGTCTGTGAGTCTAATTATTATTTTTATTTTTAAATTTTAGGCTCAGGAGAAGAAAAAAACAAACTTTCCGGGACCGGGATTCGATGCTGCGCTTGGAAGCACTGAACATTTTACTTAGGCCTAGCGAATGTATAGCTTGTCAAGTGTACGTTCTCAACGCCTAACTTAAAGATTTTTAGGTAGATCTAGAATCTATTGCATGACGACACTGCGGACTGGAAATACTGCTTATACCGAGTTGCACCGTCTTGTTATTGTTATCCAAGCGTCTTTCGACTTACCTGCTCAAACTCAAAACTCAAATGATTGTGATTATGAGAGGTGAACAAGACTATTCCACGTCTAGTCTACTTTTGTGCAAACAATGTCAGAATTGATTGTTCGATCTAATTGAGCCGATATTGATCGGAATAAGACAACGTCATAAAAAGGAGTCAAATCTTAGGATGTATATCAAGAAACAGAAACTTCCACAATTCAGGCAGAACTACAATATTATCATGTAGAAACGATGGCTACTAGATCTAGATCTAGATTCTAGTAGGCCTACTGGCGTTTCAAAAAAGAGAAATAAATCTGTCCAAAAAATGTCTGCTAACGTGGGTACGGCCTTTTAGACCCAGAATTATCATCGGCACCCACCTGGACAAGTCCAAGCATTCATCGGTATCCAACGGATGCGATCGAGAAGAAGATCAGTATCCAAGAAGACAATCACAAAAGAACATGCAATCTTTATGGATCCTAACGTCATTTGCTTAACTTCCTACACGCGTTACACGTTGTGTTGCAGTCTTTCGATCAATGCAAATTGAATAAAAATGACAAATAAATGCGTGTAATTGGGTATAAGTTGTAGTGGATTCCAATGTTGGGTGTTATCGATGTTAGCGACTTCCGATGGAAAAGATTTAGATAAACACCCTGGACAGAAAGTTGTCTGCACTTTTCGTAGATCTCCAAGAAATGCGGATTTCGAAGAAAGATGTTGGCGACTGACGGGGAGGGGTGTGTCACAAACGACTTTTAAATCTACTTAAAACTTCTTCAATTTTCGCAAATAACGGTTAACACCCAAGTGGAAATGAGTATCACGTAGTCTGAGCACAAAAACTTTCATTCCCCTTTTGGAAGTAAATTTGGCACTTGACGTCGGGTCAAAATGTCCGACTGTCACCCGCAGGTTTTTACCTTCATTTCTCTCTGTTCGTTGCCTTTTCAAGCGATGCTAGATTTCTTCTTGGTTTCTTCTTATCACAGTAGAAAAACATTCTTCTTGCGTATTCTGACCTGTCTGTCTGTCTGACCTGTGTGTCTGTCCGTCTGTCTGTCTGTCTGACCTGTCTGTCTGCCTGACCTGTCTGTCTGTCTGACCTGTCTGTCTGTCTATATGTGTGTCTGTCTGTCTGTCTGCCTGACCTGTCTGTCTGTCTATCTGTGTATCTGACCTGTCTGTCTGAGTGCCTGACCTGTCTGTCTGTCTGCCTGACCTGTCTGTCTGTCTGTCTGTCTGACCTGTCTGACCTGTCTGTCTGCCTGACCTGTCTGTCTGTCTGACCTGTCTGTCTGCCTGACCTGTCTGTCTGTGTATTCCCACAGGTGATCACCGGGGGCAACTATGATGTGGACCTAGAGATCACAGCTCCTAATGGACAGGTCGGTCTATGCTTTGTGTGTCTGTCTGTGTGTGTGTGCGTGTGTGTGTCAGTCTATGCTTTGTATGTCTGTCTGTGAGTGTGTTTTGGTCTGTGTGTGTGTCTGTCTGTGTGTGTGTGTCGGTCTATGCTTTGTTTGTCAGTCTGTGTGTGTGTGTGTGTGTGTCTGTCTGTCTGTGTGTGTGTGTGTGTGTGTGTGTGTGTGGGTCTGTGCTTTGTGTGTGTGTGTGTGTGTGTCGGTCTATGCTTTGGCTGTCTGTGTGTGTGTGTCGGTCTATGCTTTGGCTGTCTGTGTGTGTGTGTCGGTCTATGCTTTGACTGTCTCTGTGTGTGTGTGTGTGTGTGTGTGTGTTTATGTGTGTCGGTCTATGCTTTGGCTGTCTGTGTGTGTGTGTGTGTGTGTGTGTGTGTGTGTGTGTGTGTGTGTGTGTATGTGTGTCGTTCTATGTTTTGGCTCTGTGTGTATGTGTGTGTATGTGTGTCGGTCTATGCTTTGGCTGTGTGTGTGTGTGT